ATAACATTAATTTACAGTTCCCGCAGCAGTTTGTGTACAAATCTGTTTCACATTTCATGGATTTAGTCCTCTGTTGCTTGTGAACTGTTACAAACGGCAGAGAAGAAACTACAGTCTGACGGTGCGACATTCATCTGGCTGATCAGATTCGCTTGTGAGCCTTGCCAGCTGTTAAATATTGTGTTGGCCTGCCTAATCGAGCCCATCTTGAAGAGCAACTTGATGCCGCCAGCATTGAAAAGCCTGGCCTGTTCCACCTCGTTGATCAGGTGGTAAAGCTTCAGTTCCGAAATTAATTTGCGCGCAAGTCGAACGGGATTATCCGTGGCCTTTATAATGCCAGTGGAGTCATTTTTGGGCATCACCAAGAGGCGGCGACTGAATTTCAAGTTGTTGAACTGTTTCGAGTTATCCATACCTGAATGGTATGCAGATATAATAATATATATGTACATATCTATATATTGTATATATGTAGAACTTACTCATAGGCTTTGCATCGCACCATGTTTGGCAGAATAAAATTAGCGCAAAAATTGCTAAGAATTTCATGTTTCGACACTATTGAGTGTCAAGTATCAAGTCTCACAAGCAACTGAGCAGATGATCGGACCGAGCCTTCGATAAGAGCTTTCTTATCAGTCGCTGATAGCGTGCAGGTCAAAGCAATCAAATTTATTATGCTCTTAATTTCTACAATATGAAATAAGACAATGGGTGTATATTGGTATTGGTATTAATGGTTAATTAATTATATATAATATCATTATTTTTCTGCGTTAAATTTTTATTTGAAGAAAAATCTTCCTAAAAAATAATTATAAATAGATTAAACTTTTAATAAAGTTTTTTTTTTTCTGCAGTAAATATACAAACTATTCAAAATGAAATCTGTCATGAAAAAATAAATAAATAAATAAATAAATTTATATGCATTTTTATTTAACTAGTCAAGATTTATATTTTGTCCATTTATAATAAGTATTTCTCTTAAAAGTGTGACTTAATTCTAGCTCAGCTAGAAGCAGAGTGCTTACAGTCCTTAGGGTGTTCAGCTCTGAATTCACTTCAAACTCTTTGCAAAGTAGCTCTATCTCCCACTTGATAAGCGCCAGTTCATATTCGTCTGCTGCCCACCTCTCGTAGTGACATCAGCTGCGCTTCTTGGCTGGCTGTGAGCCAGCTGCTTAATGATGCATATGTGTCGCCAGCATTTGTTATGGCCAGTATATCAAAGTGGCGGATGCTGACACATGCCGGCAGTCCGAAACCAATTAGGCACTAAGCCAAAAAATTACAAGTAGAGCTCTCAAAGAAGAGCCACAAAAAAAAAAAAATACGGAAAAACAATTTTAAGAATTACGCTGCATTGAGAAAGAGTTCATAAAAAGCAATTAAAGCGCAAGCGAGCAACGAGGCAACTAGAGTATATTAATATATACATATACATATATGGAGTGTATATAGTATAGCTATGAATGGAAGCTTCAGGCTAGGCTGAGCATCATCTCAATGCAAGTTAAGCTCAATAGTACTAGGAATAAGAAGTTAAATGTCATTCTTCCCAATATATTCATACTACAATAAACGAAAGTCTAAGCCAATTTTCTCAGATGTCTATCTCTTTCTACATATAGATTGTCTTTTGAAAACCTTTGAAACACAAAAACATTTTCAGTATAGGCTCTTCATCCTTAGCGTTTTTTATGTGCTACGGTTTGGGGGCTCTTGCAATCAGCGAAAATCAGGAAAACGTGAAATAATTTCAGCACACTGCGATATCATCAAATTTCATGCACTATCAAAGTCAATTTCCTGACAGTCGATGGCCGGGCGCAAGGGCAAAGCCTGGCGGGCACCCAACAGTGGTCGAATCGAGTTTCAGCGTGTGGCTCGTCTGGTTCCAGCTTCTCGCAGCGCCCGCCTCCTGTCTGTTGCCCCCATGCTCCTGCCTGGCGGTCACAAAAATAATTTATTCAACTGGAGCCGTGGCGTGGTTCGTTCGCTCGTTCGTTCGTTCGCTCGCTCGATGACTACCCTGCGGTTCATTGTCAGTTAAGCTTTTTAAAAGAAAACCACTTAGAATGTTGACATTATCCTTCACTTTCTATTTATTTTGTCATTTAATCAACTTCCTGCCAGCCAGCCAGCCAGCCAGCCTGGCCTCACTGTCGTCGTCGTGGCGCACCCTCTGATTTGCATACCAACTGCTCGGGCGCCATATCTTGAGATGGACGCCACACAACTGTTTACAGTTGTCGTTGTTACTGTTGTTGTTGGTGCTGTTGCTGTTGTTGTTGTTGTTGGTGGTGGTGTTGGCGGTCTTTGCCAATCAGTCAAGTTCTCAGCTTCTGCCACCAACGTTTGGCAAATAAAAATTGCTTTTTGCCGCATAACCTGTGGCCGCCTACCCAATAGATAGACTTCATTTGATAGCTGACTGAACGACTTACCCGCCCACTTCCTCTGCCCTTGGCCTGTTCTGCTCATTTAGCGTTATTAAAGCAATCCCATGAATATTTTAAAGGCTTTTGTTCGGACATAGTGCCCCATAAAAGGTTTAGTGTTTCACTTCAAGCTAGCCAAAAAGGAAATGCACAAAAGCTTTTGCCAGACTTCAAGGCAAATATTACGAGCATGTAAATAATGTGGTTCGAGTTGAGTTGAATGTGAGCTCTGCATTCTTGTCGCCGAGTCCCTTCAAACGATTGCCTTAGATGGGCAACTAAACAACTGTCGGGCTGGGCGGGGCTGGTGGAAAAAGTCTTCTCTTCTGCTTTGTTCGCCCCAGACTCTGACCACATTATGCGCTGAAAGCATCTCGAACCCTAAGCCGCATTTGGGCAATCGGGCGCGCAAAGGCAAGCCCATTCAATGGTCTATTGTTTTTGGCATGGAAATGCTTTTAATTTGCCCACTTTTCACATAAAACACACAAAATACTTATTTCGGAAAATAAGAAAATAATAAGAAAATGCTGCCGGCGACGATGGCCGTGCATTAGTGTAAAAGCTAATTTGGATAGCTCTGAGAATTAGAATATAGAATATACTTATTTTCTAGTATGTCAATGGAGAAATGAAAAATAAACATTAAAATCGATGTTTATCGAAAATTTGTATTATGAAATATAAATTTCAATAAGAACAAATATTTTATATATTCTTATTAAATTTTCTGCATCCTTTAGGCTACATAATTAAATTATATTCAATTCACTTTAAAATTTGATATCATATATCATAATAATATTATCTAACCCACTGTGCAGGGTATCTCTTTGTTCAATACCTTCCAGCAATCCACATAATTGTATTCCTTTTGTTTATTACAAGTATTTTTGCAGTCGATTTTAATGAAAGCGCGTGAAATAAGTCGACTTGAAAGCACTTATAGTATTTCCTTCCACCAGCCGAGAAAGATACAAAATCGAGAGCTATCGCCAAAGTGTTGACTGGAACGGGAAGAGTGCCGTTGAAGGGAATGGGGGTTGGGAGCAAAATATGATGGCCAACTTTTTTGTTGACTTGTTGTTTTTTGTACTTAAAGTTGGCTCCCTGTTGCTTGTTGTGTCTATGGCCGCCACTCTGGGCTTAATGCTGAAATAATTACGCGCCAAAGTTGATTTTCAACGTACTCGAGGATATTGCCAGACCGCGCTCTGCCAGCCATCCCCACAAAAACAACCTCTTCGCTGAAGTACGTGACGCACCAATAAACCGAGCGCCCGCAACAAACTATGCTGTACAAGTATATGTTTGTGTGGTGGCTGCTTTTGAATTGATTAAACATGAGAAAAAAAAACAGAGATCAGCTAAAGTTGTCGGCAGCAGCAAAGTCAAACGGAAGCTGAAGAGCTGCAGTCATCTGTGGAGGGCTCCTATGGTCGTTAGTCTGCTGCCTTTTATTACAGAAAGTTTCTTTTTTTTATTCATATTAGAATGCGAAAATATTACATTTTTCACGAGACTGCTACAAATGAATAAAGTTTGCCGGATGAAAATTGCATGCATCTCACTCCCTCAGTAGAGACGATTCTGATTGGCTTTGGCCTTAGCTCTAGCGTATATTAAGAACTTTTAATGATGCCTAATATGTAGTGATCTCTGAATAAATACTGTCATTTCCTATTTCCTCT